TGTGTGTGTGTGTGTGTGTGTGTGTGTGTGTGTGTGTGTGTGCTGGGGTTTACAGGGGTATGTGCACACGTTTAACAAACCCAAAAATCCTCGTTCCGTTTAAAAGGGAGCATTTTTTTTCCTGAAAGAAAAAAATGTTTGGCTAAAGGTCAAAGTCAGTGATGTGCGTCTGCAGAAGAAAACGCCTCTGCAGGAACAAACAAACAAAAAAGAGCACGTTATTAAAAAAACATGGCGCGTTTCCAGGAGAGAAAGGTGACCTGCATAAACAATCAGCATTTAGTCACGGATACGCTCAGAGACAATCCTGCATATTTGCACAGATTGAGCTTCCAAATAGTTTGTCATAGCTTTACAGCTGTTTGCTGCAGACTGATTGCTTCTCTTGCACTGAGATCGTGCTCAATCTTGAGGACTAAAGGTTTTGGGCAATTTGGGTGCTTTTAAATGATGATCATCTGGCTCACATTTTCTGCACTGCGCACTTTTTCCATCCATTTGGTGCACATTTTGCAATCCTCTCGAATGGGTAACATTCCAAACAGGCTAAATAACTGTTGCTGCTTTCATTTCAAGTTGAATACATATCCTTCAAACTTTACTGAGCCTTTTAGGACTTATCGATCATAAGCTTAAATATTTAAACATGAGCTCTTATTTTTAAATTAACTCATTAATTTGTTTCATATGCAGTTTTCTTTTGTGCGCATGTGCAAGGTATAGTTTTCCCTCTGCAGTCTAAATGGCTAATTTTCATTAAAGCTGATGAGCAAATACCTTTCCTGATACTTGCATGTATTAAAAAAAGAACATGYACACGTGACAAATGGGCGTTGTGACTAACACGCTCTCGTGTCCAGAGATTTCTATCCTGCAACAACAATCCTCAACATTTCCTTCATAATTATGGGGACAGATGGGATGTGGAATGGCCACACGGACACCACTGAGTTTTTTTTAAAATATTTATTCATCTCACACAGAACGACGCACAAATTACATATCAGTCTCAAGAGAAAACAGCACCTTTCAGGCACGTTTGAGAGGAGTATTTGCTGCCCTTGCCTTTGAAAATGAGTCTGAACTGCACAAGCGAGCGCGCGCGCGCACGCACACACACACATTCACAGGCTGAGGGACGAGCTCACAGGCTGGAGTCGCACAAATCAAAGGAGAAAACACAGAAAGCAGCGGTAAAAGGATTTGCAGCAGAGATTTAAAACTTGATCGGACGCATGCCATCATTGTCAGTGATGGCGCTTTGCTTTTATTTTACAACAAGCCGTTTTGGGTTTGAAGCATTCCAGTTATTTATTCGACTGTTTGTGCAGATGCGACACATTTTGAGATGTTTCAACAGTTCCTGAATGGCAAAAGGAAAAGCTGAAGCCGAACTGACGCTGATGTTTCTGCTTTGAAGCACGACTGATTAAAAAAATAAAAAAGGTATGAAATCAGCTTAAAACAGATTCTGGAAATAAATTCAGCAAAGTTGACTTTTTATTTTTTATTTTTTTCCACACTGAATGAGAACCAAATATAGTTGTTTTCGCCTTGCAGTCTCGTATCACAGGATCTGTTCAGAAGTGAAGTAAAAAGAGTGTTTGTGTTCCTTCACTTCACTCCGGCTTTATTCCCATTGAAAGAGTGCCCTCAAGCAACTAAAGTCCTCCTACATCTGTCACGGACAAACCAAACGATCTGAGCTTGTATTTTATTATATTTTTCTCAACACAAAATGAAATGTTATACTGATTATAAGGAATCCAACCATATACTGAAAATAGCTATCAACACAAAAATATAAAATGAAAAAAAAACATATCAAGAAATATTTTATCTGTGCTTTATTGTCATTAAATAATTATTATAACAATAAAAATGCTCTTGTCGTGTTTTTATATTGGATTWGCACATTTAATATTTAAGAAAATTATCTTAGCAATTTAAAAATATTATTTACAGCTGCAGAACTGCAACATGTCAACATGTAAAATATATTTAAGTAAAGCCGATTAAAAGTCCTAATGATACAGTTTGAGAGAAAATAATAAAAAGTCCACATAAAAAGCTATGTCACTGTTTATAAAATAAATTAAATGTAGTGAAGTTTTAGATTTACATAATCTTCTGACCCACGCGCAGATTCAGACTGAGAGGAGTGGATTTCAAAGACACTAAAGCACAATAAAAAATAAAATGAAATGCAGATTTTGGTTTAACAACTTTTCAAACAATTAGCCATTTATTTACAAGACATTTTTTTTGTTTCAGATAGAAAAAAAACATTTTTTTTCTTTTTTTCCAACTTGCATTTCAATCCTAAATGCGAACAAATTCCACCGCATTTGATTTATTTATTTAAAGAAAGAAGCCCGCTAATCAGTAAGGTCGTTAAAGCTGGTATTTAAACATAAGGATGATACATAATGCTTTGCTCAATAAAAATCAGTATTACCAAATACTACAGTAACCAAAGGCAATGAGTTGGTTATATTTTATATGTAGAAAAATATAAACAATCAGGATGAAGGCCCAGGTGAGGCGGCTGTAGCCGACCTATTCAACCGAATTCACCCCTCARTGATCAAAACACGTGTTTTAACGTCTGATCTGCATATTTTCAACACTTGTGTAAATTAATTTTGTTGTTTTGCTGTATTTGTCACATTCTTATTGTCATTTAAAAGCTACACAGTCAACTGTAGCTTACCTCGGTGAAAAAGCAAACAAAAAGCAAAAAAAAAAAACAAAAACAGAGGCAAAATAAAATCACCCTAAAACCATACTCCCCATGTCCTGGACCTTCACAGAGCTCCCACCTGCTGGGTGTAAAGAAAACCACCACCATGGTTAATACGATTAATAAAAACATCTGAAGTTRTGTCTTAAAATGTTCCCAAGCAAAGAGAGAGAGAGTGTTGTGAAATAAATCCAGTCGCGCCGCAGCACCAACAGCAGCCAATCCTTTTGTTCGTCCCGCTGGTTGGAGCGGTGCGCGGTCACTAGGTGGCGCCCGCGCTCCACCGCAGAGCCCTCACCTCCTCCAACTTGACCGCGCTGACGTCACAGCAGTCTGGAGCATCAAGGCCACTTCCACGCCGCTATTGGTCTGAAGCTCACATGACATGTCTCCGAGCATCCCATAATTATGTTCCTGATATTTCCCTTTTGCACCCCCCTCCAAAAGATGTCAGCATCCTACTGTCCCGATCCTCCCGCTGAAAGCCCGCAGATCAGCGCGGCGGGGAAGTGATTTCCTCCCGCTGTTTGTTTCAAATGCAAGTATGACATGTCCGAATAACATATCGCCCGGCAACTTCCTGATGGATTCCTTGATGGGAGGATCATCTTCCTTCAGGGCTGAGGGCTACTCCAGCAGCCCAGGAATGTACATCCACTCAGCTGCGGAGTGCGGATATTCAGTGATGAGAAACATTGGGAAGGTTGGACCATCTTCTTCTTCTTCTTCTTCCCTCTCCAAACGAGACGAGCTTCCTGCGGGCAGCGTCTCGCTCAGCGGCTTCCAGGATGCGCCCTACCTGTCAGCACAGCTGGCCACATGGACCCCGGGCTCCAAAAGCTGCAGGGACGAGCAACCTGTTGCGCAGTGTTTACAGCCCTGCTCGTTTCCAGCGGGCAGCGTCAAAGAGGAGGCGTTTTGTTGCCTCTACCCAGATGACAGCAATAATAAGGGGAAGCAGACAACAGAGTCAGCCACCTACATCCGGCTCGGAGACAATAGCTGCCGGCCTGAGCCCACGGCCGCCGCCGCCTCCTCCTCCTCCTCATCCAGCGGCTACTTCCAGGTGTACAGCGGGGGAAGGCCGCAGCASGACGAGCAGCAGTTCCCCCCCGGCTTCTCCCTCACCCACCTGGCGTCATCGGGCGAGTCAGCGGCGGAGTCGGCAGGAAGCTGCAGAAAACCTGCGCAGGGGACAGCGAGAGAGGTTGCCAAAACAGATGAGAGTGAGAGCAGGAAGGAGGAGAAGGCCAAGAGTGACAGCTGCTCTGATAACTCGGACGGGGAATTAAAAGGTAGAAAATGACCCCCCCATCCACCTTCTTCCTCCTTCATCCCCCCCTCCCTATGCACACGTGCACGCATATTCTCACGCATCATACCTTTGTGAAAATGCACCACCAAAACGTGTTCACTGAAGCCTCAACAAACTAGCCCCACGTGCGCATGGATACGTTTGGCGCACACATGCATGATGCGTTTCTGTCAGCAGCCATACGGGCCTGCAACAGGGCTCRGATGGTGCTCGTGGATTTTACACCTTTCTAGTAATGTGAGCACGTGAGGTGGGCAGTTATCATTGTAATGGACACTCGTGTACACACACACACACAAACGGGGGCGCGCACCAAAACGCGCAAGTACATTTAATAGAAAACAAATCGAACACGCATTTCTATAATTGGATATTTATGAAGGAACCGTTTTACCAACATTTRTCTCAGAGCTGTTTAACATTTTAATATAACGTCCTGACCTATTAGGAAACATTGTTCAGAGTTATTTTGTGTATTATTCAACTAATTAACATTTTTCCTTTTGATGCTACACGTCACCCTGACTTTAGGCGTGTTCCAACGGTTTACTGAAATATATATCCTCATTTTTTCTGGGTTTGAAAAGAACACCAGGTTCTTAAATTAATTTTAGTTTTATTATATGGCTACTAATTAACTTTTGCAAGTGTTGCGATGAAGGCATTGCAAAAACAGACAAACACAACAATTATAAACAGTTCTATTGTAAAAAATACATTTACCAAAAAAACTTGTAACAAAATAGTCTTT